TTTCAACATCTTCTTCCCGTTGAAAGTTTTCCGGGGCGTTCATGCTTTGTCAGAACGCATAGTTACACAACATGCGTCTGTGCATGGCACATAATTACGCGATGCGTAGTTATGCACACGTGGAGCTGAGTGACAAGACGTTTTTTGGGCAAGCTTCCGCTTCTTACTGTGTTCGAATGGACCCAGTGAGGCGAGGACCACATCCGCTTCACCCTTAACCCATCAGCGACAGCCTTAAAGGGCGAAGCCTATATGACATAGAACGTTGGTTACGTACTGTAACCCCAGATTCTATGAATATAGGCGTAGCCCTTTAAGCGTCGGGCCTCACTGGCTCCTAAATGGCTGAAGAAAAAGCTATTTTGGGAGCCGATTTCCCGCTCTTAACGTAATTTATATGGACCGGGTGGGGCCCACACAGCAGGTGGGCGTGGACTAAATTTTTTCAGTGCTTATGCTACGCATAACGGGATAAACCCATCAGCGACAGCCTTAAAGGGCTACGCCTATATTCATAGAATCTGGGGTTGCAGTACGTAACCAACGTTTTTTTGATTACTCAAATCGTGTCCTGATCGACAAGATGTGAAAGATCTTTTTTTGTAATACCACTATCTACCCTCATGTTTCTCCCCTTTTCCTGTCTAAGATTATTATTCTGATAAGGATAAGAGAGGCCACGCTCAGTGTAGCAGCAGCTTTGTGCACTCCGTCCATCTTCCAGACGACTGAATGTACATGTTCTCGTTGTAAGCTTATTCTGATTCTGAGATCTGGTGGTTAGATGTCAAACCCAAGTGCAGGCAGACCACGGAGACTCTGAAAATTACAATTAGAAATAATTTATTAACAAAAACAAAAGGCTGACAGGGCAGCAGACTTGCGTAACACTGGGAACACGGAGGGAAGATGGAACATGGAGCTTTGACAGGGAACATCTGGAGAGATCACTAGGAGGCTCAGGTGGCAAACAGGGATGTCCAAGGCTCAGGATAGTCACAGGAGTCAAACGAAAGGCAGATAATGCACCAGTGTCAGATAGGCACTTAAGACATCAACTGCCTTAAGTACTCCTTGCAGCTCATCAAGGGAATGATCCTCAGGTGTGAATCTCTTGGTGCCCACTGGTGTAAAAGAGCTGCAAAGGAAAATGCTGGAACTCTTACAGTACCTCCTCCTCAAACATCACCTCTCTGCAATGTGCATCTTTCTTCTGAATGGGACTTGAAAATGGTGGTGATCAGACTGAGGTCAAGAATGAAAGACCTTGGGATCCAGGATCTGCAGCAGGTCAAGAGACCAGAGAGGCTGCTGCTGGTCTGGAGATCAGGGAGGCTGCAGCTGGTGTAGAGTCCAGGGAGACTGCAGCTGGCCTAGAGACCAGGGAGGCTGCTACTGATGTACATGTAAAGACCAAGGAGGTTGCAGGTGGCATAGAGACCACAGGCGGCATAACTACTTTAGAGACTACTGGAGGTATAGCTACTTCTGGAACTGTAGGAGGCATATCTAACTCAGGAACTGCATGAAGCTTAGCTACCTCAGGGACTGCAACTTGCATAGTTACCTCAGGAACTGCAGGAGGTGTGGAACTCTCAAGATGCATGGAAACCTCAAGAGGCACGGAACCCTCAGGAGGTGTGGGAACCTCTGGGGGCATGGAAATCTCTGGGGGTATGGGAACCTCTGGAGGCATGGGAACCTCTGGAGATGTGGGACCATCTGGAGACATGGGATCCTCTGGAGATGTGGGACCCTCTGGAAATGTGTGATCCACTGGATATGTGGGACCATCTGGAGACATGGGACACTCTGGAGACATGGGGCACTATGGAGGCATGGGGACCTTTGGAAACGTGGGGGCCTCTGGAGACATGGGGACCTCTGGAGACTCAGGACCCACAGGGGACTCAGGACCAACAGGGGACTCTGGCACCACAGGAGAGGAAGAGGAATAGTAAGAGGCCAGGACCCTCTGGGAAGAGGAGTGAGAGGCGTCCTACTGGACCTTTTTAGAGACACAGTGAGTAGATGAGTCATTGCAGCCAACACCCACTGAGACGCAGGGAGCAGGTAGGTCGTCATGCTAAGCAGGACTCTTTTGAAACTTAACCTTGTTGGGCTAAGTGGAAAATGCTGGGGGCACAGGAGATACTGGTGAACTGGGTTAACTGAAATCAAGAAAGGCGGGCGATCGATTATAGGCATTCAGAGCACATTGCTCTCCTCTCTCTCACACACGTTGCTCTCATTCTCCTCCTAGAGAAGCTTCAGCATCCCCAGGGGAATTAACCAGTCTAGGCAGCCATGAGAACTCGTCCAAATAATCCTTTGTCCCCACCCACCTAGCCAGTGGATCGCTGGAGGTAGCCACGGTGTCCACAAAGTTGTGCGTCACTCTGCTGATCTATTGCTCGTCCTCCGGAGCGAGCACAGTCAAGAATGGGCAGCCTGCTGTGTTCTTCTTTGGTCTGGGCATTCTGTCAAGATCTGGTGGTTAGATGCCAAACCCAAGTGCAAGCAGACAATGAAGACGCGGAGAATTGCAATGAGAAATAAATTATTAACAAGAGCAAAAGGCTAATGGGGCAGCAAACGAACATAATGCTGGGAACATGGAGAGAAGTTGGAACATGGAACTTTGACAGGGAACAGCTGGAGAGATCTGTAGGAGGTTCAGGAGGCAAACAAGGAGTTCCAAGACTCAGAAAGATCACAGGAGTCAAGTGAAAGGCAGATAATGCACCAGCGTCAGATAGCAGTCATCAACTGCCTTAAGAGCTCCTTGGAGCTCATCAAGGGAATGATCCTCAGGTGTGGATCTGTTGGCGCCCTCTTGTGTAGAAGAGCTGCAAATGAAAATGCTGGAAATCTTACATTTGCAGTATATGTTATTTAAGCTTTTAAATTACCCATGTCTGGAATGTGTATTGATGCCGCTTGAGCAAAAATGAAATAGAAATTTAACAAATAATAATGTGAAAAGTTTATTGCTTAAGCAAGCTTTTTTGTAAGCTATGTTATATTTTTAGGTTCTTACAACGTATGTTTCACAATCTAATAAAAAAAATTTCATGTTATGACAGTAATTATGTTATAACAAAACTTTTCACAATTCACAAGAATGATGTGAAAACATTTACATATATTTAAGTGTTTTGTTCTAATTTGATGAGCATGTACATTAAGCAATGTGAAAAGGTTTTTCGAACACAAAAACTTTATTGTAAGAATATAAAAATAAAAATATATTGTACAAATAAAAAGCTTTTTGTGTTCTAACAAGGTGTAGTTGTATTTTTAGGTTTTAGTTTTTGCTAAGATGGCAGTATTCCACCTTTGTACATTTATTGTGTGTTTACCTTTACTGTAATTATTTTATGACTAAGGGCTTCTTTGCTTACTATCTTTCTTTACAGATACTGTCTCAACAAAGCAGGCATGAATTCAGTTAAAAAGATCCTTCTTTGCCTTGGCGACTGTTTCCCAGACATGAGCTTCTGCCCGATCCTTCCTGCTTTGGTCTCTCTCATCCTTCATTTCAGCGAAGATGAAGCAGAGTGTTTCTACAGTGTGTCTTGGCTTATTTGCTACAAAGACCCCAATAAGCGTTACATTGACCAGACTTTCCTGACCTACCGCGCTTCCTGTATGACATTCGGTGACCTTGCTAACAGGTGTTGCAGAGGAATTCGTAAGCTGATTGCGAGCGCCCACCAAAATCTCTTTGAGTTTTACTCTGACTGGATCATGTGGATCTTTGCTGATCTTCCATTCACCTATGCCATCAGAGTTTTGGATGTGTACATACTAGAGGGCTACAAGGTTCTCTACAGGTTTGTTGAGCTAGCAGTTCTTAATATTTTAACAAATCCCACAATGTAATCTCATGGTGTGAAAATAACAGACGATAATCTCATTGTTTGTAGGATAGCGCTGGCTTTGCTCGATCTCTACAAAGTGTCTGTGTCATCTCGAGTGGCAGATGTGGAGGACTTCCGAACAGATATGAAACGTTTTGTACAGAGTGTAGCTCGCCACTGTACGATTGAGAAGCTTCTAGAAAGAGCCTTCCAAATCCCCATTGCTACACGGAGTGAACTGAACCTCCTGTTTAATGCCAATAAGAACGCCCTAATGGGAAAAGGTGTCAGCACAAACCAAAAGAGGTAGGTTAGGGTTAGACTCTCATATGAAGTGTACATGGGAAAACATGGCTTAAACAGAAAATAAAGGAAATAAAATGTTTTTTTATTAGGGATTTCATGTTGTGATTTACTGTCGATTGTAGTTGTGATTGCTCTAAGTGTAAAATTAAAATTCTGTTTTACAATTTATTTTTTTTTGTATGTTTCTAAAGGCAGATGGTGGTAACAGTAGACTTTGCCAACGTCAGGTCCGATGTTGTGACGGGGACTGAGATGGGAGTCATCTGGGCCTGGATCCCTGAGCGCGTTGCTCTTTTCAGCCCCATTAGGTTGTTCAGTACAGCAGAACATGGAAGAGGTCTTGCTTCGTATGTGACTTTACCTTTATCCCAATAAAAGGATAAAAAAAAGACACTTGATAAATAAGCTGAACACATTGCTTCACTACTGATATGAATTATGCCCCGAGTTGTTTATTGCGTAGAAACAGTTAATGCCTACAGACAAAAAAGAAACAAATGCAGATTCTATTCGGCCATGGCTGTTTGTGTTTGTTCCTGTCTTTTGTTAGCCAAATTTCTATGAACCACTGGACCAATTTTATTGAAACTTTTAGAAAGTAATCTACAACTGATTAACATTTGGTGCCAACATACTTTGTACTTAAGATACAACTACCAATCTCAGAACACACAAAACTGCATTTAACTCAGTCACCTATTGTTATGATTAATCTCGGAAATTGTACTCAAATTCAGACCAGGGCTGAGAAGGATTACAGACACGGAATAAAAGTTCAGTGAGTTTATTTACAGTGCTGGGGTAAAGGAAGTCTGAGTTTCTGGAAGGGGGGAAAAAAGGGGAAGACAGATTAATGATGGGTAGGAGAAAATTGTAGCTGTTTTGGATAGTTTAATCCTTCTCTTACAGGTGGATCTTCAAAGGCAGACTCAGGGAGGAAGGCGAAGTGTCTGTCGGGTGAGTGAATCCTTGTATTTTCCAAGTAACTTGATTAGTATCTTGCAGGTGGCGGCTGATGGAAGAGTGTCCCGCTGGGAGATAGAGTTCCACAGGGAATGAGTCTAGTTTGGAGACGATTCGTCAAGTCTTGGTTCTTGGAGGTGAGTCCTGGTTTTGCCTTGAAATCACAGGGAGACACAGGTTGATCAAACACAGGTTCACAAGAGAAAATACTAAAATGGCTGTCTCACAGTACCCAAGGTGACTGAATGATTCAACGAAGACTGGAACCTCCTCCAAGGCTTAAGTAGCAGCTGGACTCATTAACCGGATTGAAGGCAGGTGGTTGCTCAGGAACTCCGTCACCAGCACTCAGCAATTGCAGGGTGAGTACACTTAAACGGCACAGGCCTAACAGTACCCCCCCCCGTCAAACATCGCCTCTAGGCGATCGGAGACGTTTGTCAGGGTGACTCAAAAAAAAGTCCTTGATGAGACCAGGATTCAAGATGAAGGACCTGGGGATCCACGATCTCTCCTCAGGACCGTAACCCTCCCAATCAACTAAAAACTGATGTCCACGACCCCGTCGTCGAACATCCAGGATCCTGTGAACGGTGAAGACAGGCTGATTATCAACAAGGTGAGGGGGCGGACGATCCAGGTCAGAAAGAAGCAACGGATCCTCCACGAAAGGTTTGAGTTGAGAAACGTGAAAAGTCGGATGAACCCGCATAGAGCGAGGGAGTCGGAGCTTGAAGGCCGTGGGATTAACAAGTTCGATAACAGGAAAGGGGCCAATAAACCTGGGTCCCAGCTTCCTGGAGGTGTCCTTGAGGGGGATGTTCTGGGTGGAGAGCCATACCTTTTGCCCCATGGAATACAGAGGAGCCGGGGAACGGTGACGATCAGCCCACCTCTTGGCCTGATCACGGGTCCGTAGAAGAGCCTCCCTAGTCTGCCTCCAGATTTGTCTGCAACGACGTAGATGGTGCTGGACTGAGGGGACAGACACGTCGACCTCCTGGTGGGGAAACAGAGGGGGCAGGTAACCCAGAGATGCCTCAAATGGGGAGAGACCAGTAGCTGAGGACGTGTGAGAATTATGGGCATACTCAACCCAGGGAAGAAGAGAGGACCAATCCGCAGAGTTATCCTCAATGATACAGCGAAGAGAGGACTCAAGGGCTTGGTTGCATTGTTCAGACTGACCATTAGTTTGGGGGTGATAACCAGAAGATAAGCTCACCGTGGCACCAAGAGCTCGACAAAAACCCTTCCAAACCTGGGACACAAATTGAGGACCACGATCCGAGACGATGTCACAAGGTATGCCGTGAAGTCGAAAGACATGTTGGACCAAGAGGTGAGCGGTCTCCAGAGCTGAGGGGAGTTGGGTTAGCGGGACAAAATGCGCAGCCTTAGAAAATCTGTCAACAATGGTGAGGATGATGGTGTTACCTTCAGAAGGGGGTAGGCCCATCACAAAATCCAGAGCGATATGAGACCAAGGGCGACCAGGAACGGGGAGGGGCTGGAGCAGTCCCGCAGGAGGTTGATGGGTACTCTTATTTCGAGCACAAACAGCACATGCAGAGACGAAACGTTTGACATCATGGTGAAGAGTAGGCCACCAGAAGTGTCTGTTAGTGAAAGAAACCATACGACGGACACCAGGATGGCAGGAGAACTTAGAAAAGTGGACCCATTTCAGGACCCGGCCGATCACAGACTCTGGGACAAATAATCGATCAGGCGGTCCATTACCAGGATCAGGGTCAGTCCGTTGAGCCCGAATGATGTCCCTCTCGATCCCCCAGGAGGTGGCACCCACAACACAGCTGCAAGGAAGAATGGCCTCCGTGGTTTCGGAGGAATCTGTAGATGAGAATTGTCTAGACAGGGCATCGGGCTTAACATTTTTAGACCCCGGGCGGTAAGTGATGGAAAAGTTGAACCTAGTGAAGAACAGAGACCATCTGGCCTGTCTCGGGTTCAATCTCCTGGCACTCCGTAGGTAAGCAAGGTTCTTATGGTCAGTCAGAACAATGAAAGGCAGGTTGGACCCTTCTAACCAATGCCGCCATTCCTCGAGAGCCAGTTTTATGGCCAACAATTCACGATTACCCACGTCGTAGTTGGCCTCAGAAGGAGATAGGCGACGTGAGAAAAACGCACAAGGGTGGACCTTGTTATCGACAGGGGATCTCTGAGAAAGGACAGCACCCACACCGGTATCCGAGGCGTCAACTTCAACAATGAAATGTAAGGCGGAGTCAGGATGGTTAAGAACAGGAGCAGAGGAGAAAAGAGTCTAGAGTTTAGTGAAAGCCTCCTCAGCCTCACTACTCCAAGAGAACGGGCGGAGAGGAGAGGTGAGTTTAGTCAATGGACTCACCACTTGGCTGAAGTTCCTGATGAAACGGCGGTAAAAATTTGCAAAACCCAGGAAGCGCTGGAGTTGTTTGCGGGTCTGAGGAGAGGGCCAGTCCAGCACAGCTTTGACCTTCTTCGAGTCCGTCCAGACCTGACCACTCTTAAACTCAAAACCCAAAAAGGTTATGGAGGGGACACTGAACTCACATTTCTCTGCTTTAACAAAGAGTTGGTTCTCCAGCAGCCGCTGGAGAACTGCCCGAACATGTTGAGTATGTTACAGAGGGTCCTTGGAGTAGATCAGGATGTCGTCAAGATACACAAAAACAAACTGAGACAAAAAATCCCTCAGAACATCAGTAACTAAGGCCTGAAACACCGCAGGGGCGTTAGTCAACCCAAAAGGCATCACCAGATATTCAAAATGCCCAAAGGGGGTTCTGAAGGCCGTCTTCCATTCGTCCCCCTCCTTCACACGAACTAGGTGATAGGCATTTCTGAGGTCCAGTTTGGTAAAAATGGACGCCTCCCTGAGTTGTTCGTAAATGGATTTGATCAGAGGTAGAGGGTATTTATTTTTAACAGTGATCTGGTTTAGTTCTCTGTAGTCAATACAAGGCCGTAACGTCCCATCCTTCTTGTCGACGAAAAAAAATCCCGCTCCTACAGGGGACGTAGAAGCACGAATAATGCCCGAGGATAGGGATGCTGTAATATAGTCCCTCATGGTTTGCTTTTCAGGCCCAGACAGATTATACAGACTGCAGGAAGGCAAGGGAGCACCAGGCAGTAGGTCTATGGAGCAGTCATAAGGCTTATGGGGGGGTAAGGAGAGAGCCCGGACCTTGCTAAACACAAGGGCCAGGTCATTATAACAGGACGGAATAGACGACAAATCGATCTCCTCCACCGCATGACAAGGTGGAGGAGAGGTGGTGACGGCAGAACCAAGGCAGTTGGAGGAACAATAACGGCTCCAGGAGACTATCTGTTTACGGGATCAGTCAATTTGAGGGTTATGTTGTCTGAGCCAGGGAAATCCCAATATGATTTCAGGGGTCTCGGAATGAAAAACGAAAAATTCACTTTGTTCATGATGGTTACCAGATACGATGATATGCAAAGAGGAGATTTTATGGGAAATTGTGGAGATGGACTGACCGGTGAGCGCTGTCATAGAGAGGGGTTGGCGTAATTTGTTCATAGGAATGGAAAGGTGAGCCACCAAGCCATCACTGATTCTGTTCTGCCCCAGAATCGATCAGGGCTTGTACAGGGAAATTAACGTTATTATAAAAAACTGACGTATTAAGGGTAAGACGATTCTCAGGAGAAATGTCCGCAGCACCCACCAGTATCTCCTGTTTTACTGGTGGGATCGACCTTTTAAACAAAGAGAACATGAAGCAATGAAGTGCCCCTTCTTTCCACAATATAAACACTCTGTGGCAGAAAAACGCCTTTGTCTCTCCTCAGGGGTGAGGCGGGCACGCCCAATTAACATGGGTTCTGTAGGATCAGGTTCATTCATAGGATTACATACCGGGCTGCGGCTTACCGGATCCGGAAGTGGAGTCACGGAAGTGGTAGGACTCTGGGATTTGTAGTCCAACAGGCCCCGATATTCCCTGTGCCGATCATCAATGCGAATGGACAAATCAATTAAATCGTTTAGATTGTCAGATTCATTTACAAGGGCCAACTGATTCTTAATGTGATCGTTGAGGGCATTCACGAATACTCCCCGTAGAGCGAGGTCCTCCCATCCGGCCTGTCTGGCCGCGACCCGGAAGTGAAGGGCGAAGTCCGCGGCAGATTGGTTCCCCTGACGTAGCGCCATTAGCTTCTTGGAAGCCGTCTCCTGGTACAGAGGCCTCTCAAAGACTCTCTGAAAATCATTGAAAAAGGTGGAAAAGGGACAGTCACTTACAGGAATGGAACCAAAGTAAGCATCTGCCCACCTTAAAGCCTCTCCTTGTAAGGCGGAAACGATGTAGGAGATGCAGGACGAGTCGGAGGAAAAGGTCTGTGGGGCTCTGCTAAAGGCTAGGTTACATTGAAGCATAAGCCCACCAAACTGTTCAGAATTACCAGAAAATAGTTGACTGGGCTTCATCTCGGGCTCACGGACAGGGTATTGGGTTGGTGGTACTGGGGATTGTACAGCGGAGGCAGAGTTGGTGGTTCCGGTGTGGGAAGGTGGGGATATCTGTTTTCCCAGCTCGTGGACCATTCCATCCAGCTTAGTCACGTTCTCTGAGGTAGTTTGTTGTTGGCTCAACATCTGTTGAAACAAATTTTGGATTGTAGTTAGTCGTTGTTCTTGGGAAAGAATAGCTTCTCTTAATTGATCCATCTCAGTCTGGTCGTGAGTACTCATGTTATGGCTGAATCATTCTGTTATGATTAATCTCGGAAATTGTACTCAAATTCAGACCAGGGCTGAGAAGGATTACAGACACGGAATAAAAGTTCAGTGAGTTTATTTACAGTGCTGGGGTAAAGGAAGTCTGAGTTCCTGGAAGGGGGGAAAAAAGGGGAAGACAGATTAATGATGGGTAGGAGAATATTGTAGCTGTTTTGGATAGTTTAATCCTTCTCTTACAGGTGGATCTTCGAAGGCAGACTCAGGGAGGAAGGCGAAGTGTCTGTCGGGTGAGTGAATCCTTGTATTTTCCAAGTAACTTGATTAGTATCTTGCAGGTGGCGGCTGATGGAAGAGTGTCCCGCTGGGAGATAGAGTTCCACAGGGAATGAGTCCAGTTTGGAGACGATTCGTCAAGTCTTGGTTCTTGGAAGTGAGTCCTGGTTTTGCCTTGAAATCACAGGGAGACACAGGTTGATCAAACACAGGTTCACAAGAGAAAATACTAAAATGGCTGTCTCACAGTACCCAAGGTGACTGAATGATTCAGCGAAGACTGGAACCTCCTCCAAGGCTTAAGTAGCAGCTGGACTCATTAACCGGATTGAAGGCAGGTGGTTGCTCAGGAACTCCGTCACCAGCACTCAGTAATTGCAGGGTGAGTACACTCAAACGGCACAGGCCTAACACCTATTCTATTTTAAAGATGATCTTAGTCTAAAACACTGGCATAAAAGGCCGTAGGCCCTATAAAACAACTGCTATCCAGGTTATTATTTTTGCTAGGTGCCAACCACATATGGGGGTATTTGCACCATCAACAAGTTTTTATTGAGTTCTAATGTCAAAGCATGAGCAGTTTTGCTATGATAAGCATGATCTGTTCTATTATTTGAACAAACATTGAAAAATCATTTGTAAATGTTCAGTTTAAATTAGATTATTTTGAAATTGAACAACTTTATTAAAATACAAAACAGAACCATATATTTTTGTTTTTGTACTTTTATTTAGATTTTATTCACAAGTGGAAGGGCATGAACCAGTGGTCATCATTATCAAAACAACTGACGAAGAGGTAACAATGTAGTGTATCCTGAAGTTAATCTAATAGTTTATGTGATTTTGCCTTTGAGTACATCTGGATTCAAAGCCTAAATGAATACAGTATTGTCAATTAGTTCATATAATTAGGTTTCCATGCAACTAAAATATAAGTGTTTCTCATTTTTTAGGTGTTCGGAGCGTTCCTGTCAACAGATCTGATAGAAACAAGAAGTCACGATGCACAAGGACTCACATATTTTGGAACAGGGGAATGTTTTGTTTTCACGGTGAGCCAATGTCTTGCCTTAATTTCACATACTGTTTTTCACTTTTGCATTCAGGTTTCAGGTTTCTTCAACATTATATTTACAAGTTTTAGTGTCAAAAAGTAGTTAGCGCAATCTCAGTTTGTAGAATCAGAAAGAAATTTTGATGCTGGGGTCAAGCCAACTGTTACTCAGAGAAGAACCCATTTGAGAGAGAGTTTTCACCATTTAAAAAAATGTATTAACTGACCCATGAGCCCATTTTATATAGCCGATAAGAAATAAAATAAAAAATCTGACATTTTGTATTAGGGTTTGATAGAAAGGTTAAAAACAATTAATATTTTAATTCTTTGAACAACTTCACTCAGGAGGAATAGAGTTTAATTCTAACATGACTGATGAGCAAATGGCTAGCCCTAGCAAGGTCAAAAACAATGTGAATTGCTGCCATTTTTACATAACTACCAGTGATCTTCAAATTTTCATAGTGATTCTTTTACATGCTATTTTATAGAAATGTATACAACTTTTTATTTCAGATTATATGTAATTATTGAGCAAATAAATGTGTCAGATGCTAGTTGTAGGCCTTTCGGTGCAGCCTGGGGCACTTCTGGAAAGAATAATAATTTTGCTGAAATATTTGTGGAATGTAAAGTGGACATCAAATCAAAGGTTTAAGATTTAAATAACGTCTGTAATAACTGCTACAAAACCAAGCCTTCTTAATTTGACAATTAGCAAGCTGGTAATGGCTAGCCAGATCAGACCCCATTAGAAAAGAGGTTTTGTCACCCTAAAATAACTAATATTCCAAATTTCATGGCTGTTCATGTAAAAAGTGAATTGTTGCCATTAGTTATGCATTTCATGTCTATTCCAACAGAAACATTTAGAGAATATTTCCAAGAGTGCCCCAAGCTTCACCAAATACCAAATACAATAGACTACAGCACAAATTCCAGCTCAGAACTATTTATAAAAATCACGTTATGCTAAACTGGAGACATTGTAAAGAGCCATAAAATATTGTTCACATGAATTTATATAAAAAATTAAAAACAGAAAATTGGAGCTGGTTTTATTTGAACTAGTTATTAGCTCACCGATCTAGTAAAATTTAAACAGTTTGCTCTCAAACTGAGGTAATTCAGAGAGATATCTACAAAAGGTACATTTTATTTAATCATGATCTTTACGCAAAGTCCCACTTCAACATGTAAACCCTTTAAATTCTTAACAAGTTGGGCACATCTTGATGCAATAATCAGACGTAAAGCAGATGATGGTAGTGCTTCAACCTATTAGAGTATTATTGTTATAAATATTTGCACCTCGTCAGTTTTGCATTAGGCTCAAACCAAAACTCAAAGAACAGCTCATTGTCAAACTTTTTTTCATTCATTCAACCTTTATTTAAACAGATAAGTCACATTGAACCTCAAAGACTCATTTACAAGTGAGAGCTATTTGGACAGACAATAAAAGTGATAAACTGGACACGTAGGAATTGGAGGCGAAAAAATTTCTATCAGACTTTTTTCCCTGCAAACTTGTTGAGAATTTAGTTCAGGACATCAATTCAGGCAGTGGGATTACCTGATTTAAAAATATTACATTTTGAATGGGGGACTGAGAGACAAGTTACTCAGATAACTTGAAGGCCTGACTTGAGGATACACCAAGAGAGTGACAGATGAGAGGGTGGACAAATGAGAAATCAAACTACAAAAGAAATTTGTTCCTACTTGTGCTTCCTTAAGATTATCACGTTTTATCATCATCTCGGAGCTCCACCAGGTTATGACTGAGGACCTCAGTCTTCTTATTATTTCGGCTTTTCCCTCTTCAGGGGTCGCCACAGTGAATCATCCTCCTCCATCTCACTCTGTCCTTTGCATCCTCTGTCCTCACTCCAACTAATTCCATGTCCTCTCTAACTGCATCCATCTTCTCTTTGGCCTTCCTCTTTGTTTTTTTCCTGGTGGATGCATTTCTAACATCCTTCTACCAATATACCCACTGTCCCTCCTCTGGACATATCCAAATCATCTTAGTCTGGCCTCTCTAACTTTATCTCCCAGTTGTTTATCTCATTGCTAATCTTATCCAGCCTTGTCTCTCCTAAGGAAAACCTTAGCATCTTCATTTCTGCCACTTCCAGTTCTTTCTCCTGTCTTTTTGTCAACGCCACTGTCTCCAGACCATACAACATAGCAGGTCTCGCCACTGTCTTGTAAACTTTTCCTTTGACCTTTGCAGACACTCTTTTGTCACAAATCACTCTTGAAACTTTTTTCCATCTACTCCATCCTGCCTGGACTCTCTTTTTCACCTCTTTACCACACTCCCCATTTTCCTGGACAGTGGACCCCAAGTACTTGAAGTCCTGCACCTTTGTGACCTCTGCTCCTTGTAACCTCACTGTTCCACCAACCTCCCTCTTATTCACACACATCTGTCTTACTACGGCTGACTTTCATTCCTCTTCTTTCAAGTGCATACCTCCACCTCTCCAATTTCTCTTCCACCTGTTTCCTGTTCTCACCACAGATCACAGTCATCTGCAAACATCATCGTCCATGGGGATTCCTGACTGACCTCGTCTGTTAGTCGGTCCATCACCAGAGCAAACAAGAAGGGGCTCAGAGCCGATCCTTGATCCCACCTCCACCTTGAAGCTATCTTTCACATACAGCACATCTCACCACTGTCCTGCTGTCCTCATACATGTCCTGTACAGTCTAACATGTCCTGTACAATCTAACATGTCCTGATGTCCTAATACATGTCCTGTACCAGTCTAACATACTTATCTGCCTCTCCAGATTTCCTCATGCAATACCACACCTTCTCCCTCGGCACCCTGTCATATGCTTTTTCTAAATCCGCAAAGACACAATGAAGTTCTTTCTGACCTTCTCTGTACTTTTCCATCAGCATTCTCAAAGCAAAGATGGCATCTGTGGTGCTTTATTGGCATGGAATCATACTGCTACTCACAAATAGTCACCTACTGTCTAAATCTTGCTTCCGCAACTCTCTCCCAGATCTTTGTCATGTGACTTATCAACTCACTGTAATTCCCCTGTAGTTGCTACAACTCTGTACATCACACTTGCTCTTAAAAATGGGCACCAGCACACTTCTTCTCAATTCCTCAGGCATTTTCTCACCCTCAATTATGACATTGAACACTTGAGTCAAAAACCTCACTGTTATCTCTCGAAGACATTTCCAAACCTCCACTGTCATCAGGTCCTGTTGCCTTCCCCTTCTTCATTCTTTTCAGAGCTTTCCGGACTTCACCCTCACTAATCTTTCCCACTTCCTGGTCCACAGTTTCTATGACCTTTACTCTTCTTTCTCTTTCATTTTCTTCATTCATTTGCTCCTCAAAATGGTCTTTCCATCACACTCTCCTCACTTGTTAGAACATTACCATTCCTATCTTTAACAAGTCTAACCTGCTGCACATCCTTTCCAGCCTGATCCCTCAGTCTTGCCAAATGGTACAAGTTCTTCTGGCCCTCTTTAATGTCCAGCCTCCCATACAACTCATCATATGCCTTCCGCTTTGCCTTAGCCTCTTTGCTCTACGTTGCATTTCCTTATGTTCCTGTCTCCTCTCCAGTCCTCTCACCGTCATATTTCTTCTTTGCTAACTTCTATCTTTGAACGGCGTCCTGCACTTCACTATTCCTCCACCAGGTTTCCTTATCATCTATTCTTTGTCCAGATGACACACTAAGTACTGTTTATTATTATTTATTTATTATTACTGTTGCTGTAGTAGTCCAGTCATCTGGAAGCTCTTTTTTACCACCCAGAGCCTTTAACAGCTCCTCTCTGAATTTCTCACAACATTCTTCTTTACTCAGCTTCCACCATTTGGCCTTCTTCTCTGATTTTACTTTTTTCCTCTTCTTCACAACAACAGCCATTCTACACACAACCATCCAATGAGGTTTATCCACGCTCTCCCCTGCCACAACCTTACAGTCTCCAATCTCTCTCAGGTTTCCTCTTCTACACAGAATGTATTCGATCTGTGTACTCCTTCCTCCACTCTTCTAGGTCACTTTATGTTCCTCCCTCTTTTGGAAATATGTGCTGACTACAGCCATTTCCATTGTCTTAGCAAAATCTACCACCATCTGTCCTTCCTGGTTTCTTTTCTTGACACTAAACCTACCCATCACTTCCTCATCCCCTCTGTTTCTTTCACCAACATGTCCATTCAGGTCTTCTCCGATCACCACTCTCTCTTCCCTGGAAATACTCTCCATCACTTCATCTAGATCCTTCCAAAATGTATCTGTCTCCTCCACGTCATATCCAACCTGTAGAGCATAACAACTGACAACATTTACAAACAGACCTTTTACTTCTGCCTTCAGACACATCATCCTATCTGACACTCTTTTCACCTCTACTGTATTCTTTGCCAACTCCTCCTTCAGGACCACCCCTACTCCAGTTCTCTTTCTATCCACACCATGTTAAAACTGTTTAAACCCTACTCCAATGCTGCGAGCCTTGCTGTCCTTCCACTTGGTCTGTTGGACACACAAATCATCTACCTTTCTTCTCTGCATCATGCCATTCAGCTCTCTACCTGTGCCTGTCATTGTCCCCAATTTAGAGTTGCAACCCTCAGTCCTACATTCTTGACTTTTTTCTTCTCCCTCTGTCTCCTGACACATTTCCCTCCTCGTGGTCTTCAACTAACAGTAGCACAATTTCTGCTGGCACCCTGTTTGTCATCAGCACCAGTGGTGGTCGTTGTTAGCCCGAGCCTTGACCAATCTGGTATGATTTCATTTTGATGAACTTGCATTACAGTTTTGGTAAAAGTGTTTTACATTGGATGCCCTTCCTGACACACCCTCACAATTTACCCGGGCTTGGGACCGGCACAAGAGATACACTGGCTTGTGCTCCCTAGTGGCTGGTTTGAATGAGGACCTCAGTAAATCATTCATTCTTTAACCTACTTGGTTCACAGTTAACTTAAAAAAAAAAAAACACAAGCAAACAAAAAAAAACAACAAACAAAAAAAAAATTCTATTGAATGACTGGTGTGGTTGGTCCTCCCAAATGATTTGTACAGCTTATTCCTGAGCAAGAAAATCTTTGTTGAAAATTTCCTACTTTTAACAGGAATTACACAACATCACAATACAATAACAAAGGAAGCTTGTCTTGATTTATGGTATAAATATAAATTACATGAATTTCTAATGTAAACTTCACATGCTCTGCTTTCTTCAAGTCTAAAACCTCTTTAACTGTGACATTTTTTGTAAATTTGTAATAAAGTCATCTGCATACAATTACATGTTGGGTTGCTTTATGTAGACATTGTTTTATGTAGACATAAAACAATGCTTGTTCTAAAACCTCATGTGGTTTGCCCATTTTCAAGCTTAGAAGCTCTGAAAGAGTGCTCATTTTAATCTCAAGATTCCAGATAATGTTTTAAACAAAATGTTTCAGTACAGTAAAGTTTCTTTATTGTACTACTTTGCAATATCTTCAACATCCCATTGAACATTAAAACTGTAACCTCTGTTTCAGCTCCGTCCCAATATGGAGCGTTACCAACGAGCAATGGTCAACATAATGACCCAAAGAGGTTCCCCTCAGCAGGTTCGAGCCAACATCGATGCCTCCTCTCACGTGTCAAAGAGTGGTAATACCCAAATCAATGTCAAAACTCTGAACAGTCCAACTGGAACCCTTCAGAAGCCAAACTGTCTGACCGTCCCCTTTACAACACTGTCAAACCCCATGAATGCAAAAGAGCCCAAGAGACCCAAGGATCAAGAAGCCTCAAAGTTTATTGCAGGAGATGACTCTCAGCTCATTATAGGTAAGGCATTAAAACACAATATAAGAAAAAACAGGCCTTAAAGGAAACGTATGGTCATTTTTGAAATGATGTTTGATCAAAAAGTTATAATAACAGTAGTTTGTATCCTGATGCAGGCTCAATAATCCAGGTAGAAAAATCTAAAAAAGTTAAGTCTGGTCCTCTGGACATTCAAAAAACAAAACAAAACAAAAAATTTTTAGAAATGTTTCGGCTTTCTTCAGTCTCCCAAAGTGGTTCAAAATATCCTGATGCATGCTAAAGTAGTAGTTTGTACTTTTTCAGCTGTGGCATCTGTCATAGAGTGTGGAGTATAGAGAACTGGGCAGAGACTTTTGGTCAGGCCAGGCGAAAGGTTAGCCAAACATGGATCCCTTATAGGGCAGCACGGTGGCGCAGTTGGTAGAGCTGCTTCCTCTCAGCAAGCAGGCTACCCTGGTTTCATTTTATTCAGTTTATTCACACACTCACAGAAAGAATCATAATATATAATACATAACTGCAAGAATTGTGTGAATCAGGTCTCCAAAAAGCTATTTAAAGCTTATAGATGGAGCCTGGGTACATACAATTACAGACAGTTTATAACATATTAAACATATTAAACATCTGTGGGAGGAAACCGGAGTACCCGGAGAAAACCCACGCATGCACGGAGAGAACATGCAAACTCCACCCAGAAACTCCCCCGGACCGGGACTTAAATATGTATAAAACGCTCATTGAGCCACACTATTATATTATTATTTTATTATTATATATTTTATAACATATTAAAATAACAACACAATAAATACATCATACATTCCTCATACAAATTCCACATACAATACAGATTATGTTACATCTGATCAATCAGTTACAGGTCCTACAAGTGATCTCATGTATATAGACAAAGCAATTTTGTCGTTAACTGTTTTTTGAAGGTGGAGACGAATTTCAACTCTTTTAAACTCTCGTCAAGCTCGTTCCAAATCTGTGGACCCCTCCCAGAAAAGGTTTGACTAGTGATGTTAAGTCTTCTATTTTATAATATGTTTTTTTCCTGGTTTCATAAGTATGTTGAAATGAGTCTTCGAGGCTCAATGTGACTTATCTGTTTAAATAAGTTTGAATGAATGAATGAATGTTGTGGACCACAGATTGGAACCAGCTTAGTTAATCTATTATTAGTTTTATTTACAATTTGAAACATCAAACAGGTGTTTTGATACGCATTTAATTCTATTCGCCGAAGAAGATCAAAACGTTGAAATAGATGGAATGTGGGGGCATTATACTCAGACCATGACACAGCTCTTATTATCTTTTTTTGAAGATGTTCAAGTGTCAAGATAACTAGGGTAAGTATTGCACCATATAACACTACAGTATATAAAGTGTGGCTCAATGAGAATTTTATACATATTTAAATCCCGGTCCAGGGGAGTTTCTGGGTGGAGTTTGCATGTTCTCTCCGTGCATGCATGGGTTTTCTCCGGGTACTCCAGTTTCCTCCCACAGACCAAAAACATGCATGTTAGATTGATTGGTAACTTTGATTGGTGTGAGTGAGAGAGTGAATGATTGTCTTTATGTGTCACTGTGATGGACTGGAGACCTGTCCAGGTGTCCCCCGCCTCCCACACAGTGACTGCTGGATATGGGCACCAGTGACCCCAGCAACCCAAAAAGGAAGAAGCGAGTATAGATAATGGATGGACGGATCCCTTATATGTTGTTTTTCAGGTTTATAAAACAAGTTTCTCAAAAACGACATGCTAAATAAAAAACATTGCATTAGCTAATATTAAACCTCTAAACTTTAGCATGATATATTTTTACCAACTTGAATAACATATGTTACTACGCAAATATAATATGTATGCTAATAATGCTAAGAGGCTGCTGATTGTATCTGATCAGTGCTTCTACTCAGCCCAAAAGTTCACTCAGCTTCTGGTGGACTGATACGCAGCAGCCTCAGCACCATCTACAGACTTTTTACACTCTGCACACTTATATTCATGTAGTAACTTGGATGTTGTTTGGGTAAGAAAACAGCTACAAACTACATAAACAGTGTCACTTTAAAAATGACTAGACTATCCCTTTAAGAAGATCTCAGCTGTTGATAATAAAGAAACACTAAAGTGCTGAGGTATGTGTGTATGTTTCAGGTGGTGATGGTGGCCATGCTCTCGGTTTGTGTGAAGACTTAGAAGAAGGATACACCGAGCATTGTGACACGTTCAGCAGCAACCCTCTTTGCAAGGGACATTTTCAGATCCAGTGTCTTGAAGTTTGGGGCATCCAGAACTCTATTTACTTTTCTCACAGGTTTTCTTCTCAGTAGACTGACGAGAGAAGCTTCATGACTTAGTATTCGAACTTGAACCAATTTTTGTTAAAGCTATTTATATGAATTTGACTTGCATATAGTTTGAAAATATTTATTATCACCCACCACCATGAATGGTGGCAATCATGTTATAGCCCGTGTCTTTGTGTTTGTTTGTTTGTCTTTCAGCAAAATTCAAAACCACTGGGCAAATTTATCGAAATTCTTAGAAAGTAGTCATGGATGAACATCTACAGCTGATTTACTTTTGGAGTCAAATTGATTGAAGAAGCTGCTAAATCTTAAATCAAACTTAGCTAACACAAAAATTGCTATAAATCTGTACTTTTGTCAAGGACAACACATGGAAAATAGCCTGTTGGCTAACTCTGGTATATTAACAGTAATGTCTATTACTATACACTATCATTTTTAAATTATGTAATGAACTTTTTTCTGCAAATATTGAGCTACAATTTGGAGGGGTAGTAACTTAGAGTCATCCCCAACGTACTCTGAGCACAGATCATGCGGGAGGGAATTTTGCTTAAAACGCACGCAAGGAGGCGGGTAATGTGCCTTCTTTTAAAGAAAGTAACTTTATTTTATGAAATACAACTGTGTATAAAACATGTAAAGCAGCTGAGTGAGTAGAACAGGCGTGTCCAATCCTGGTTGTCTTTTGTGTTTTAGAGGTTTCTCATATATTTCACTTAGTAGAGCTGAAGTTTGGTGTGGCATCTGAGAACGTTCCCCATCACATACTGACTCCAAACCAAAATTCCAAGATTGCCACTGTAGCTTAAAATACAGAAATAACTATAACGTGTGGGTTTTTTTGTGTGTTTTTTTTTTCTGTTTTAAGCTGATATTTGGTATGCTGGTAGCTGATAGCAAGTCCCAACACATAGTGCTGCCAAATCAAAATTTTAAAATGGCCACAATGTGGAAGTCACCAACAAAATTTCTCCAAGAACTTTCTAGTTCAGGGCTATTCAACTGGCGGCCCACTGGCCACTTCCGGCTCACGAGTGACTTCAGTTCGGCCCATCAATGAGTGTGGCGGTTCAGAGTTTGGGTTCTGTTTATTGCATTTATTATTCAGTGCAACAAAATAAACAAGTTTAAAAAGTAAAAGATCATTGTAATACTTGGTTTATTTACAGAATGAGTTTAATTGTGGTGTGACGTTGCACGTTCGTGGTGAGATGTATTGTGCCATTTCCTGTTTGTTGATAGCTCGAGTGAATTGTTTGCTCGAGTCGTCTGTTTTCTGGATTTATCTGTCTTTTGCACAGTTTTTCGTTCTAGTTCACAAACACTTAGTACAATTGTTTTTCTACTGTTGGATAGTGCTTAAAACACCTCCTATCTTTCAACACTTCTCGGTTTTTATTGATGTATTTGGCTCTGCTAGCTCCTGCTAGCGTTAGCTTAGCATGGCTGCTGCTTCTCTCCCTGCTTCCTCTGTTTTCTCTTGCTCCATGTGTCAGATGTTTAGCTACTCCTCCGCCTCCTTTAGTGGTAATGATACATGCATATGGCAAGCCCTTTTAACATAAAATAGGATTCACCACACTTACATTCCAGATATCTGAAACTGAGTTTTGACTAGACATATTAGTTATTTAAGATATCTTGAATTGCATTTTGACTAGTCAAAATACTTATTTAAGATATCTCTAATTACATTCTGACTAGTCATAATGACGTCAGATTTACCATTGAGTAGTATGGAGGCTTCAATTCAAGATATCTTGAACTGAATTTTGACTAGTCAAAACTACAGTTCTAGATATCTCTTAAGTTAATTTTGACTAGTCATTATTTGCTTTCAAGATATCTCACTTTTAGTTCTGACTAGTCATAATTACAATTAAAGATATCTTAAATTACGTCATTATTCAAGATATCTTAAATGTATTTGTAGATATCACAAATGAAGTTTTGACTAGTGCAAATTAAATTGTAGCTATCTTGATAGCAAATAACGACTAGGCAAAACTAACTTAAAGATATCTAGAACTGTACTTATGACTGTAAGAGTAGCACTCACTGCAGCTCCAAGATGGCCGCTAATCACCATCAGCTGACGGTCATCCACCTGACGAGCTACAACCCTACTTAAGGCTGCAGTCGAGTTCTACTCATCGCTGGAGCATTGTTCCCTTACTATGTCATCTCGTTTCGGCTCTCCTAGCTCTGGATTCCAGCTTTTGTGCCTTGACCTCCTGCCACGTGCCTGACCTGCCTCTCCTCTGGGACTCTGTTGGATTCTTCAGAACACCTCATGCACCACCTTCCTCCATCTGGTTTCCAGAGGAACCACCTTGTACAATTGTAAATACCACTGTAAATAATAAACACTGTCACTTCATATTACTTTGCCTTGTGTCGTTCCGGGTCTCGTTACGAACTGGGTTGTCCTAAAACCATAACAATGACTAGTCAAAATTCCTTTTAAGATATCTCAAAATGAATTCAAGATATCTTGAATATTTTATCATGTAGACGGCTTTTCTATTCAAGATATCTTGAATTGACATTTTGACTAGTCAGAATGACGTTCAAGATATCTTGAATTGTTATTCTGACTAGTCAAAACGTCACAGATTTACGTAGCTTTTTGGCGGAAAAATCATAAGGCATTGTAGCCTTTTTATTTTATAATCTGCAAAGTCAGGTCAATCCAACACAACGCTCGTATTTTTAACATGATTTTTAACGCGGCAGCTCGATTTATTTATTGTATCTGCAACAAGAAGACTTTTTTTGACAAACAGCTGAGCAAAAGGTGGATCCTGGAAGTGGGTGAGAACGTTTTGAAGTGGCTGATTTTTCATTGAAGAAAGAGTGTTTGAAGAAAAGAAACAAGCGGTTTGGCATAAACTGGTTTGTGACTGGGCCAGAATGGCAGCTCAAGTTGAGGAAGATGATGAGGATATGGATTTAAATGATTGGAGTCAAGTTGTTAGTGGAAGAAGAGGAAGAATAGGGCGAGAAAATGATTGTTTGGTAGGGACACAGGTTAGTAAAAGGACTTTGGAAGAGAATAGTTCAGATGAAGGGACACCTGTGGTCCGCAAAAAGATTGTTAAAGAGGAAATTAAAATTATTCTGAAATTTAAAGAAGAAGACAATAACATACAGCTGGGACCAATTGCATTATCAAAAGAACTCAAAAAGAAGATTGGAGATATTTCTTTTGCAAAAACACTTAGAGATGGGAGTATACTGGTCATTTGTAAAACTGAAGAACAGAAAAATAAAGCACTGAATATTGAAAGTATTTGTAGAAAAAATGTGAGAGAGAAAAGGATTTTAGGAGAGAAGAAGGTAACGAGGGGCGTGATAACAGGAATACCAGTAAATGAAGATCTAGAAAAGCTTAAAAAGAGCATTCAGGGTGCAGAAGTGAATCACTTAAAAAGGTTGCTGAGAACAGTAAATGGAGAAAGAACTGAAAGCCTGTCGATAATGATTGAATTTCAAAATAATGTACTTCCAGAGAAGGTTAAGATCGGGTTCATGAGCTTTCCAGTTAGGCCTTATGTCCCTCCCCCACTCAGGTGTTATAAGTGTCAAAGATATGGACACATTGCAGCTGTGTGTAAGGGACGGCAAAGGTGTCCAAAATGTGGGGGTGATCACAGATATGAAGAGTGTGGTGACAATGCCCAAGATAAATGTTGTAATTGTGGGGGACAGCATAGAGTAACTTTTGGAGGATGTGAAATTAGGAAAAAGGCCATTAAAGTGGAGCAAATTAAAACAGTAAATAATATCAGCTATGCTGAAGCGGTGAAAAAAGTTCAAGAACAAACTGGAAGGAGAGAGATGAGTGTACAACAAAACCCAGCATCCCAGTTACCAAAAGAGAGACCTGAACCTACAATTACAGTGGAGAGGATCATGTTGTTCATTGCGTATGTGATTAGACCAGGTCAAGTACAAAACAGAGAAAATTAAAATAATAGTTAAAGGAGCAGAGAAATTTTTTGGTATAAAAGACATTTCATGGGAGCATATTAACAAAGAACTGGGGGGAATCGGGAAGTCAGGGACATCAGGAGAGGGGGCACTCTGATTATTCTACAGTGGAACGCTCAAAGTTTAATCGCAAATGGACAAGAATTTAAAGGCTTTATTAAAAATCTTAACAAAAAAACAGACATAATATGTATTCAGGAAACTTGGCTCAAAGCAAATTTAGACTTTGTTATTAGAGGATATACTGGTGTACACAGAGATAGAAGTGAGACCCAGGGAGGGGGATGTGTAACATTTGTAAAAACAGGAATGCACTTTAGATTATTAGCAAAAGGAACTCATTTAGAATATTTAGTTGTTGAAGTTTGGAACAGGAAGGAAAGCATCAAAGTAATAAATTTTTACAATCCTTGCAAAAGACTTTCACATGAATCAATGGAAGAACTCAATAGTTATTTAAATGGAAACATCTTTTGGTGCGGTGATTTTAATGCACATAACTCATTGTGGGGCACTAAGAATGATAGTAATGGAACAATTATTGAAGAATTAATGGAAAATAAAAATCTTGTCTGTTTAAACGATGGTAAGGGTACAAGAGTTGATATGAGAACAGGTATGGAATCGGCAATTGACCTAACAATAATATCAAATTCAATAGCAGGAATAAGTACATGGAAAATAGTTAAAGATACAACAATAGGAAGCGACCACTATCCCATAATAACAGAAATAAAATTGTATATTGAAAAATATAAGACGGGTGGTTTGCAGAAATGGTGTTTTGGTAGTGCTGATTGGGAAACATTTAGATGTATAAGTGATCAGGAATTGGAAAAAATTAATGTAAATATGGAAGTTGATCAGCTAAATGTCTCTGTTTGTCATGCAATCATACAGGCTGCTGACAAATCTATAAAGAAGAAAGGAGGTGAGGGCTGTAAGAAGATTGTTCCATGGTGGACAAAGGAGTGTGATAAAGTAATCAAAAGTCGAAATAAAGTTTTTAAAATGTTAAAAAGGAA